TCATCCGGATGAGAGGTATTTTTAAATAGAAGTTGTCCTTGCTGCTTGGCTTTGCAACCTTTATTTCGTGGTACCGATGGGAGCCGAAGCCTGCAAGATTTAATGCTTTTCTGGCTGACGGAGGGAAGGCAGCGGGGGCTTGGGGTGCTGAGGGGGACACTGCCGGGGAGAGCAGGTCCCCCCATGCTGAGACCATTGCCTGTGGGCTGGGGACACCGCGCGGTCCCCAGTCTGTGACAGCTGGGTCCCAACCGACCAGGCAAAGCCTGGCGTCTTGGGGTGGCCGAGCCAGCTGTCCTGCCCCAGCTCCATCACCCGCCCTGATGTCAGGCAGGAGGATTTATATGTATTTTTGAGTTCATTTTTATAGCCGACACCTGTGAGGCCAGCGCCAGGCAGGGATAACTGAGGGGGCCACGCCACGGGGGGCCAGGACGGTGGTGTGGGCACGGAGAGCTGGTCTGGGGGAATGGGGAAACTGAGGCACGGCAACCCCTCCGCTCCTAGGGGCGGCTCTTGGGTCTGGGACCAGGCAGGGGGCCGAGGCCACGGCTCATGCCCGCTGTCGGAGCCAGGGCAGGAGCCGCAGCTCTCGCAGCCCCGTGGGGGCCGGTGGGACACTGAATCGGGCACATTCAGTGCGGCACAGCTGGTGCGGGCTGCGGGGTGGGGGGGGCTGCAGTTGCTCCTGACACTTTTGCCTCTGAATGTGATGATAAACTCCCTTTCCCGATTAGCGCTGATCCCTCTGCCTCCAAAACAGTTGGCCCTAATGAACATACGGCCCAACAGCTGTAAGCGGTTATACATATGCATGGATATATATATTTATCCCCCCCAGCCCATCCATATATACTGGAGATCACAGCTGTTGCTATTCTTCCTTGCAATGCAGATCAGACGCTCTCTCTCTTTGGAGTCTTACTTGACCTATTTTGCAGGCGCAAGATTTTTTGTGATGATGATTTCCCCAGTTGGTGCTTTTGATTCTGCCTGAAACATCTTGATTGAAGGCAAACAATGGCAGCTCCGGCAGCCGGCAGCGCCCCTCACCCACG